ATGATGCAGAGGTGCATTGATGCAAAACTGAAGTTGTCTTGGGTTCTCGTCATTTGAAAGGAAAGGAGTGAACCAGTCAATAAAAGTAAAATTCGAGCAGTGTAGCAGTGTAAAATTCGAGTGTTCTAGCGGTATAAATTATTCTTTGACTGAGAGATAGATTTCACACTTAAACTAATGCTAGGAAGTTAGCCAAACCATGGAATGATAAGCGTTTTTATAGAAGACAAAATAAGGATCAACAGAGGCATTATTGTGGTTACAATATACGAGCGATTTCTCGACTGTATTTTTCGATGGTTATTTTCAACAAATTTGGCTCGTTTCCTTCAACAACATCCTGAAATTCATTTCTCTTGCTTCATCATTTTAGAAAAAGTCGGATGCTGGCAATTATCGACTATAATTTCTAATTTTGGAAATTTCACTGGAAACGTGGAAAATATTTTGAGATGTTTCTACTAAGAAAATGTACTCAATTTATTAAAATAATAGTGAATGGCTAAAAATAGTTACAAAAATTTTCTAGCAAATTTAAAAATTAAAAAATTAATTCAGGTGACCGACCATACGATAAACCTTTTTTCTAATATTATAATGTATAATATTAATAATAATATTAATAACAGCGATAATAATAAATAACACTAATACTAATAATAACAATATTGCTATTACAATTATAATATAATTATAAAAATAAATAATAGGATAAATCATTGCAACTTTTACAGCATCGCAAAATTAATTTTCTCGAATTAACTAATAGGGAAAAATTATTCACAGAAATTAAACATACAATTTTCTGCGAGTCTCTTATGAAAACAAATGTTGGCATAACGCTGATATCGTATTCGTTTGCAAGTTCTTCCTAAAATCTTTTCATTTGACTTATAGCCGTCGAATAAAAAAGCAAAAATTCAGAGTTTTAATAGTTTCCTGGATAGGACGACCTGCCTAATGGGTTACTGCCTTCATTTCAGAGTGTCGAAGCTTTCGACTCTCGTTAAGGATAAACCTACCAAAAATTCCGTCCTTCACTTTATCTTTCACTTCAGTGACGACCCGGTTGGTATTGGCAAAATTCATCGCACCTCCTGGTTCAACAAGCCAACCAAGGGCGCCTAATTAGAAATAGTGAGTGTTTTAGAAAAAGAAATATCTCATAGTGGATTTTTCGCAAATGTTTTTATTAATTCACTCAAAATCTAATAATCTTTAAGCTATATTATGACGCTGATTTCGCTGATTTCATCAATATTTTTTATAAAAATTGTCGACTTATTCGAAATAAGGAAAAAATGATTTAAACCTGCTCATCAACGTCTATTTTCAAAAATATAAAATGGTCTGGGAACTCGATTGAAAATTTCTGAAAATGCAATCATATAAATCGTTATAATTTCTGGAATCTTGTAAATCTAATAAAGTTGCCTAATTTCACAAATGATCGTCGTTTATTTGCACAATTCCTTGAGAAATATTTAAGAAATATTTAAAAGCTTTTTATGATAATTATAATAATAAAATATGATAGCTGGTAAATGAATTCATAATTCATTCACAAAAAAGTCAAATAATTGGCAATTTCTGTGGTACTTAATATAGCACTTTTCTATTTCGATTTTTCCTAAATAATATTTTAAATATTTTAAATAATTCAAAATATTTAACTCGACGTGTTAAATGAAATAAATGTAATAAATAAATAAATGAATCAAACAAAAATGTTAAATCAAAATGATAAATCAATATATGGTTAAGTCATTTAAAAAATTGTAAAAAGAACTAAAATTGAAAAATGTTTACTTCGAATTTTGGTCCCATAAATTTACAAGGACCACACCATGTCGCAAAAAAGTCAACTATGACCATTTTTTTTCCTGCTTCTCTTATAAATTTTTCCAGCTCATTCTAAAATTCAAATAAGAACAATAAAGATTTAAAAAAGTAAAAAATTCAAAATATCTTTTAAAAGAATAATTAGATTGGTTTACAAATTATTCGGCAATATAAGCATTATGCTGCACTGCTCAAAATTTCTATAATTTGAAAATAAGGACAATAAAAGCAAATTTCTATAATGATAAACTGATAATTCGCGAGTTTCCCGATTAGTTACAACAAAAAGGAAAAGGAAATGTGCAAACTTTATCTTTCACTTCAGTGACGACCATTGTTCTGATAACGAAATATTCAGATGGATAATGCTAAAATATAAGTGGTAAAGAATAGGTAAGAATTTAAACATTAATTTAAAAATTAGAAATCCATTTAAAGATTGATTTATGAAAAACAAATTGAATAAAATCATAAAATATTTATAAAATATCATTTCGCTGTAAAACGCTGAAAACTAATAATTCAAGTATGCTTTACGAAGCCAAAGGACAAGAAGAAAAAATCAAAAATTTAATTAATTATGGTAATAAAAATTTTATGAATCAATTCTGTTTCATAATCTCTTTTTGTAAGAGCACTCACTATTTTTGGCTAGGCTCTTCTAGCCCACTAGTTTAATCAGACCAGGCAAGTAGCCACTTGGCCATGGTAAAAAAACTTGGCCTTACAGGTAGGTCGCTAACGCCACTTAGGATTTTTGAAAGATGGAATAGAGTCCCAGAATCGACCAACTGAGCAGTTTTCTTCGACAATATTAGAAAATATTTCTGCTTAGCATCGCTCTGAATTTCTTAAATTTTACATGAATAAATGAAGTCTATTTTCAATTTTAATTGAATTCAATGTCGAAAATTCAGTGGGTTCAGTAGCCTAGCAACAATATTATTATTTTTACTTTATTTCGGATATTTTTGCATCAATAATAATTTAATAGTGAAATGAAAAATAATTGCATAAACCTTCTTTTATTAATTGGACAGAATAGCCGAATAGGTGAATTAAACTTTAGATTATCACAGTAAGGCAATTTTTATTCATATGTTTATGTTACGATAATCAACCCAAATTTAATCGCTGAAATTATACAATAATTAAAACATAAGACAATTATTGATTATTTTATTTTTTTAACTAATTTTTTATTTAAATAAAAATAAGAAATTCAATTGAATGCACTCAAATATTAGATTCTAAAGGATATGTGGAAATATGAGCAAAATCGTTAAAAAATATACGCGAGCCAATCAAGAAGGACCATTGGTGCGCTAAAGGTGAAATAACGATAGCTTTTATGGTTCATTTATTCGTTTTATGCTAAAGTTTTAAAGCATAAATTTAGCTACTTAAACTATGAATTGGAATTTCTTTTGTTTAAAATGAAAATTATATAAAAGAGAATTTGAAGAAAAGGTGGAATGAAATCTTCTATAACAAGAGGAAAGGCGAATGACATGCGAATGTCAGTGGGTTGTTACTCCTATTTTGAAGCGCCGATGCCGAATTTTATTCAGGACCTGTCTTTCGAAAAAATCCTGCTAATACTGACGAATTGTACTTCTACGGTCAAAGGACTAGATAGCAAGATTTATTTGATGCGACAAGTCAGCAAAAGCTAAGTTTAGCCAAAAAATTTTGGGCTTTTTTAAAAAAAAAGAAAGGAAGAAGAGTCAAAATAGGAATTTTTACTCCTCAACATTTACTTAAAATATCCCAAAAATTATAAAAAATTTAGGATTTAATTTGAAATAAAAATAATGGCAAAAAAATATTTTTAAATATCTTAAAGAAATTTTAGTATTTTCCATTTTCGATTTTATTTATTTTGGTTATTTTTAAATTTTACTTCACAAAATTTTTACAAATTTTTTACAAATTTTCAATATAATGGCTTTAAAATAACTTTTTTTCCCATACAATCATGTTATCAAATGTTATGGATCTCATATCAGAACAATCAATAAAGGAATTAATGACTTGCAGGAGTTGTTGACTCAACTTTTGGACGATTGAAAAGGCTTTAGTCACTTTTAGGAATGGCATAAGAATGGGAATACATGGAAAAGGCTTTCCTTAATGGCCAGAAGAGCGAATCGAACCAATAACTGTACGAGCTTTTAGGAAAAGCTTTATTAAATATTGCTTACTTGTTTGGCGTTGCCTTTAATGACATACAATTACCTTACCTTAGCACCACCTCAACAATTAATCCGACGCCAACTGGTTGGTGTTGATTGATTTTATGTGCCATAAAATCGTTTCCGACTCCTAACGACCATATAAATCAATAATTTCCAAGGCAATCTCTTCCTAGTTTGATTTTTCAAGAGATCCGCTCATCCATAGGTTGCCATCATCTTTCCTTTGCTTGCACCATTCTCAACCAACATATCTTTTTTCAGAGAGCCAAATGTTCACATATGTCCAAAACAAGATAATTTTAGCTTGGTCATTTGTGCTTCATCCTGATCTATTCGATGACCTAACAGTCTATTTTCTTAGCCTTCAGGAGTTTTCTCCAACACCAGAGTTCGATACTGTTTCTATCATGCTTAAAAACCAAGCCTCGTGTAGAATCCATGGAGAATACTCAGGCTTATGTAATTTTATCATTGTAGATATAGTTGTATTATTGCTTTTGAATAGCATTTCCAGGATCTTTATGGCTGCACTTTCCAGAGGTTATCTGCGATTCTTTACTGTTGATGGTTGATCCTAAAGTACTATCCACCACTTCGATGTCAAGTTGCACTATCTATTGTCACCAGTCTAACATTCATTATTTTTAGCCTTATTTTTTCGTTTTTTCATCTTCGACTTTCAAAATTAAAGCTTAAAAATCTATATTCTCTGCTATCATTGTAATTTCGCCAGCAGAGCGCCGTTTCGCCCTTCAATTTTAAAAGCGTTCTTATCTTCCGAATCATATGGCATTCGTATGGAAACTAAATAAATAAGGGAGAGTGAGCATTCCTTTTACTTGAAACCAGCCTGTTTCGCTATATTCTTTCTTTCTGCACTGTGGATTTCTGACCTTTAATGAGGAAATTAAATATTCTCGAAATTCCATTTCCCTGATTTCATTAAATGGCTTAAGGTGATTATCGGCAATTGGCAATTAAAGGCTTTCCTGCAATCGATGAACCATCATATAATGATTTTCTTGTTTGGTATTCTTTGGCCTTTTCAATTATCAAGCGTACACCATCAATAATGTCTCGTATTCCTCGGCTTTTTCTAAAACCGACTTGAACATATCTCTTTCTCTGTTGGACCCTAATCGATCCTAATGGACGATCCAACATTTCACCATCAAGAGAAATTAATGATTTGCAATACAGTAGTAATAATTCATTCAAAATCCTTGCTTCAATCTATTATCATTTATTATTTAATTTTATTATAATAAATCAAATAAATCTGAATAATTAAGCTTTTAATGCAATATCGAATTTGCCGAAACTTATTCGATTAAAACACATTCGAAGTTTTTTAATTTTCTTACAGCTTTCATCGCAGTTATAATGGAAATGATGGGAAGTAACATTGAGTAATCCACTTAGCCATAGCCTATTATTCGATAACTATTGTCCAATCAAGCTAAAATCCCTGGTTAAGTACACGGTGAAATATAAAGTATTATATGAAATTTATACACAAGTTTGGTGAGGCCTCAGGCCTCACAGCCAATGCAACCCAACTATGCAGCCCATAGCAACAAGCGGTGAGATGCATGCAATGAACGCTGCTTTAGCCAAAGTTTTATCACATGTACAACACAGAATTATTGCTTATCATTATTTTTTATTCATATTATTTATTTATTATTTTTACTACATTATTATTGCCATTATTTTATTATATATAAATAAATATCTATTACCATTATTAGATATATATATATCTATCTATTATTATTATCATTGTCAACATTAATATTGCTATTGTTGATACCATCATACCATCATTGCCATTATTATTCTTTATCACAATTGTTAATGTTAATATTATCATTAAATTTAAATTAAATATGTGAAAATAAGGCGAAGATTTTTGTAACGTCAATGAATTGAAATTATTAATTGAATGTTTTTAGGTTTTAGCACGAAAATATGCTGACTATATTTTTTATTTGATAATGCTGTGTTGGTTGTTTCAGCTTCTGGTGTTGAGAGGCTGGGAGAGAATTTAGCAATTTCGGTTGCCGAAGGGGTGGTAGAGTGGGGAGGGGGATTTCGTCTTTAGTTTTATTTTTCCACTCTATAGAGTTGTTGGGATGTTTGGGATGTATTGGGATTGGGTATTATACTTCGAGCTTATAATACGGAACGATATTTTGTATGGATTTTTTGGATTAATCTTTTGAGAATGGTTCGTGGCGTTGTTCGCATAGATTTTTTGGCGGTAGAGCAAGCAGTGTAGATATAAAATGAATTGGAAGTAGGCTTAAATAGATTCTGCTGTAAAAAAGGGAAAAAATGGTGACGTGACAGAACTCGAACTGCAATTAATATGAAGACGAGGAAAGCAGAATATATGATCTGCGAATTTATTATTCTAGCGAAATAGTGGAATCTAATAGGGAAATGAAGTGGGGACTCAGTTAATAATAGTTCTACAACGAATATATCTGCAGAATCCAATGGATAATGTTATGTTGAGTATGTGGTTTATGAGGGTAAAGAGCTTCCATTTGAAATATGTTTTGATGGTGCCCGGAGATTTTTACACCGAATCCTTCTAAGCCAGAGCATTCAGCATTATAACATTATGTCTGACAGCAATTAGGAGGCGATCTCGCCAGAGAGTCACATATGCATACAAATGAGACTGGCGGATTGATTAATTAACCTTTTATCAAGTTAATAGCCTGTATTATATTAGTTTAATTTGTTTTCTTGACCAGATTCATATGATTAATTGCTATCTTATCGTTTATAATTTGCAATAATTTTGGCACTTACAGTTTATATTTGGACTTTTAGCCTGAGTGAATTAATAGAAGTCAAATAAGTTTGACTTCTATTGCAGTTCAGTGTTATAGGCTTTAGTCGTAAGCAGTTTTCTTGCGAATAGTTCCTTAGCGCCATGCTGTGATTTTATTTGTTTAAATCTTTTTTTTTATTTGTTTTCACATAGTTAATGCGAAATGGATTACGAAAATAAAAAAAGTAAAAAAAAGTAAGCGGAATTTTTCAAAAATGCTTTTGGATATTTTCTTCCAGGTAAAATTATTGCTGTCAACGCATTCAAGATTTTGGGCAATTGAAAAAGAAACCGACCTTTCATTCTTCGAAGTTTTATGGATATAAAAGCAGAACGGATAGCACAAGCACGAAAAAAAGTAAAATTCTTATTCTTGGTTTATCTGCTTGGTTTATTTCTTTGTGGTTCCAGGAGAGATTTTTAAAAAAATTATGAATTGCAATGATCAAAGGAAATTCAAAAAATATTTCAGAAAATATGATGAGATTTGTTTTAACATTGATCATTTTAATGGTCTTCAAAATTTTTTGTGAGTTTAATTAAAGTTTTTATTAAATATTAGTAAGAAAAATAAATCTCTTTTAAGTTGCGTGACTATCAATCAAAACGTCGCAAATCGTTTGAAGATACGGTAACGCCTGGGGCATCAATTACTGTCGATATGAACGATGGTCATTTCGAAAGTCGTGAGTTTTCATTCATAATTTTTGTAAATTATAAACTAATCTATTTGAAAAGTTTGAAAAGTTATTAGAGGTACTTTACTAGAGGCACTTTACTAATTTGGCGATATTTGCGTTTATTGTAGTCAGTTCTTCAGGCTTTTGGAATATTATGCATCTAGAATTAAGAGCGATTTAGTTGAGATTGCTTCTGACGAGGAGCACTACATATTTGATTTTCTTGCAGCACAAGTAGACATATGATTAAAACTGAAAAAAAGATGCTCCAAATGGGTTAAGATTTACGCATTTTTCTGTGATGAAAGCATTCTTTCTAGTCCTATGGAGCTAAGCACACGAAAAGTGGTACATGCTGTTGTAAATTTATTGTAAATGTATAAATATATAAATTTATTGGTAATTTGTCTATTGGTAATTTTCATAAGCTATTAATCGTTTTATTTTTTAGAAATTATTATTTAACAATATTAGATAATTCCATCTATAAAAACTTTCGCAGTGACCATCATTCAAATCGACAATAATTGATGCCCTTTTAAATTTATTACATAACTTATTAAGTCCCATCTGTAAGTTATTATCAGTCACGAAAAATATTTGTGATAACATCATATTTCATATTGAAGAGTACACTTCTGGCAATAAATTTACTTTCGATTCATCTAGCTCAAAAGTTAGAAATTTGGAGTTCTAGTGAATTCCAGCAATAACGCACTTATCAGAGGATTCGAGTATGTTTGAGCGAAGTTCACTGAATCGCATGACCTTACTATATTTAATCTAACAAATTAAAGGATTTGTTATCTATTAAATTGCATAAATATAAATAGTTCGAATCATGATGATTCCACCAAAGCTGGAGAATATCTATGGTTGATAATTATCCTTTGATCTTCTTAGATTTTATTATCCTCTGATCTGGTTTATTGGGTGCTTTCTTTGAGAATTTTTTCTAGTAAATTTCTGTTCCATATAATAGTTTTCAATTTTTTTCCTTTCACTGCATTTGTGCTTATGTACTTTTTTATATTTTTTTATTTTCCCTATTCATTAACATCATATATTATCCGTACAGCCATATTTATCTCATAAATAAATGATGATTATAAATTTTTTAGACTTTATTGATGGTAACGAACAACCAGAAAGATCTTCTTCGCAATGTTCTTCATCTTCAGTGTTTTCTTCAAGCAGCAAGAAAGTTAATACGCAGTTCGTTTCTGACGTTAAATGTACAAATTTTGATCAAAGTGTTGACCGAAGTTGCCCCGCCATTACCAGCGTTAATTTGTTAAATAGCGATTATTGTGCATCGTCTGGTTCAGAGCCAGTGTTAAAGGTTATTGTTTTTTTTTTGTCCTTTGTTCTTATTGTTTATTAGATAAAATGAATGAAATTAGCATATTTTGATTTAAACGTTTTAGGTAGATGAGAGCCGTTTATTGAAGCAACTTGGTGAAATGTCCTTAGAAAAGGAGAGCTTGAAATCTCAGCTATCTGAATTGGTGATTTTATATTATCATTTTTTTCTAATTGTGATATCATGATTATGCATTATATTCCGGCCAGATTTCGTTTAGCTTTTGTTATTTGTGGTAATTAATGATAATCCTTTCGCATTATCACAGCATGGTCATTATTCTGAACTTTATACGGCATATTCCAAACTAAACGATGCTGTACAAAATGGCAATTATTTGGATGGTGATTTACAAGCGCAACTGCTTCAATTGCAAAATGTATGTTTTTTTAATGCGATATTTATATGGTTTATACGCATTCATTTTTGATGATATTATTTTAAGGCAATGAGTGTCGTTGTACGAGAGAAGACATCATTTCAGCAACAATTAAGGGAAGCCAAAGAATTAGCTGATCAGAGACTTCTTCAAATTCAGTCATTGAACGTATAAATAATTTATTTTTCTTTATTAAAATTATATTATTATTATATTATATTATTTATTAAAATTATATTTCATTTCATTTTTTAATTTTTATAAATTTATTGTTAATAGAAATCATTCTAAAATATTCAAAACAAATTTATCAACTGATTATATTGGGCAAAGAGAAGAGTCTCCATTTTTTCCTTTTTTTATTATCGATTTCATTATCTTGTTGTCTTTTGTGGCCATAACTTTTCCCAGTTAATTACTGGACATGTCATATCTATACATTCTTCCTCATAATTCATCGTACATCTCCATAATAGCAATTTGTAATATCCTTTTCTCTCAATCTTAAAATTTTCTTCAGCAAGTGAGTTTATTTCTTCCTGTTTTGCAGAAAAACTTCAGAATATCCACATTAATATATCTTACTATATATTCGTATATTTTAGGATAATTTAAATCAAAAAACAAATTATATGTTAACATTACAAGAAGAACTGACTTCGTATAAAAGCGAACTTGATAATTTCCATTCTGCGATGCAAGGGCAAGCAGAAGAACTAGAGGCCAATCGAAAAGAAGCTGCTGAATTTCAGATACGTTTGTTACGTGCTCAGCAAGATCGAAATGACGCTCAGGTATTTTTTTTATTTTTACCGTTGTTAATTCATCATTATTTTTCATAATAATTTGATATGTTCAAAACAGAGATCTAAATAAAATAAGAGGAAAATTTTGCCGATTTTCACTCACTTAATGAACTCGCGAACGCTAATTCGAGCAGTAACATAAAAATTGTTTTAATAAAATTTTGGACAAAATTATGGAAAATTTGTAGGAAAGGCTAAAATATTGCATGAAAGAAGCGGAGGCAGTACAATCTGAATTAAATGCAACTAAAAAAGAACTCAGTCTTAAAGAACTCTTCATCCGCCAGCTGGATTCCTTTACCAAAAAAGTAGAAGGACTGAATGAACAGGATGTGCACGCTTTATATCGTATGGGTTTTTAATAAAATGAAAAAGTTTTTAATAATCATTCAGTCGTTAACAGTGGAATTATCCTGGTCCTGTGGTTTTTTAAAATAATTCACATATATGTTTTCGAATATATTTAATTGATTCGAATATATCTTATAGAAGAAAATGAACGTTTGAAAAAGGATTTATTGAATACTGAAACTCTTTGTAAACAATGGAAAAAGGAAGCGGAAATAGCAGTCCAACGATATGAAACTTATGGCAGTCAGTTAAACCAAAATATGCTAAATCTCAGTAACAAAGTAATAATTTGATCGAAATTTTTCTGAAATTTATTTTCGTCCAAATGGATTTATTTCTCTTAATTATAAATGCTAACATATTATAATATATTGTAAATTCTTAATTTTTAATTAAATAATATATTGTAGTTCTTAATCTATTATCTCTAATTCCTCGTTTTGCAGTTGGAAGAAGAAGCGAATGAAAAGCTCAAATTACAGTCCAGAATGCAAATTCTTGAAGAGGAATTGAAAATTTTCAAATCCCAAACAAAAGTTCGGATTTTAAAGAAACTTTTAGGTTAAAGAAACTTTTTTGTTTATATCAGTTATGGTTGGATTTTTTACTGGAATTTCATCGTAGGAATCAAACGACGGGCCCAGACCTACAGATAAAGATAATGCATTGGATGGAATGGCGCAAAAAGTTGAGCAGATGAGGCAATCAAATGCTGAGATTTGTCAAAAGTTGTTTGATAAAGAGAAGGAAAATGCTCGTTTACTATCTTTAATTAGTAAAAATGTGCGATTATTAAATATTCGTTCAATTTATTTTTTATTTATTTTGTATATACCTTATATTACCTTTTTGATTTTGAGTTTTGCCTATATTTTATCAATAATTATAAAATATGAAAAATTTTAGGAGGTCGAACTTGAAGAAAAGGATGTACAATTAAAAACGATGAAGCAATCATTGGAACGAATGCGTCAAACTGCTCAAGAACAAGAAAAATTTAACAAAGTTTGTTTTCTAATTATTAAGATCAGTTATTTCTACTTTTTAAATGATATATTTATGTAAATTTGCTTAAATTTAATTAAATTAGTTTATTAGGATGTTCAGAAAGAAGCTTATTAAGTAAAAAGAAGGAAATGTCAAAAATAATAGAAGGATCGTGATGTCAACAAATATTTTTTATCAGTATTACCGAGCATTCTCGCAATTATTTTTTAGAAATAATGCATGTTTCAGGAAGTTCGAGAACTTTCAGACAAATTGCAAAACGAAAAAGCAACAGTTTCAAGAGCAGTTGCTCAAAATCGTGAACTTAAAGAACAGCTAATCGAATTGCAAGATAAGATTGTCGTTTTATCACAGGTTTTGTTCCACAATATATTTTCCAGCCAAGTTCAGTTTAGTTTTTACAACTCATCGAATTTCTGAAGTTTTATCATTGAATCTCTAATTTATCAATCATTTTTTTTCCGAAATTTAGGAAAGTATGGAAAGAGAAAGTGCTCGTTTAAGTGCTCTACATGTTGTCGAACAACTTCAAACGCAAATCGATAATTATGAAAATGGAAAACAAATTCCTCATCAGAAATCCAATCAGCCATGTAACGGTTGTGCTGAAAAAAATCAGAAATTTTCGCAAAATGATAGATTTAAGGATTTTGTTAGTGTTTAAATTAAGCATAAATTTCCATCATTTTTTTGCCAAAATTTTTCTTCTTATGCGATTTAGTGGAATTATAACTTAATAAGTTGAAGAAATCTGTATAAGCCGGAAAAATGTTATAGCATTCATATTAAATAGGGTGCCTCAACGTCCCTTCCGAATATTGTTGAAAGCGAAGCCAATGAAACAAAACGTTTAAAAGAGGCTCTTGTACTTAATGAAGCCGAATTGGCGCATTTACGAATCGAATATGGAGAATTAAGGAAAGAACACAGAAGAGTTTATCAAGAAAATGATGAACTTAGAAGGTAAAATTCATCACAAATTTTATGAATTTCCATGGTGAGAGTTTTATGATATTTTACCCATTTTTGCATTTTAGAATTATGCAACAGAATTCTGAAGATGAAAACCAAAACAGCATCGTAATTGAGTTGGAGCAAGCCGTTGCGAGGTTGAATTTTCGTTTTATTAGACTTATACCTCGTTTTCTTCATACCTATTTTTTGTAGAATAAGTGCCTTATCTGCTGAAAATCTCGAATTGCGTGAAAACCTCGAACTACAGGCGATCAATAACAATATCAGTTTATCCACAATAAACAACATATCACAGTGCGATTCTAGCAACAGTGAAAATTATATTGCTGGGAACGGTATGATGCTTTGGTAGCATTTTTTTTGTCATATATCAGTGTTCTTAGATAATAAATTTATTGCGATTATTTTAGGATCAACAGCAGCTGAAGTGCCGGTGATGAGAGAAAAACCTTTAGCTTGGACTGAATTGGAAGCTCGTTTTTCTGACGCAATGCGTCAAAATGCGGAACTGATCGAAGAAAAGGAATATTTAGAACATATTATCCTGCAACTACAAAGCGAAAATGATACTATCGGTTAATATTTATTTTTCCTACGCTTTTAATGAATGACGAGAAACAAGTATTCAAAATGGAATAATGAATAATTTAGGTGAATATGTAACAATCTATCAACATCAGAGAAAGATGGTAAGAGAAAGAATGCGACAGCGTGAAGAAGCGATGGCCAAACTATCTTTAGAAAAAACTAAAATGCAAGTAAGTTAGAAAGTTAAGAAGAATTTGCATTTTTATTCATTCCGAACTTAATAATAGCAGATTTTTTTTTTCAGCAAAAGTTGATGGAGCTGCAAAGCTGTTTAGTAAATATTTTTACCAAATACGGTATCATACAAGAATATGAGCAAAATAAAACATCAGGAAAACCAAATATCAATATTGTTTCGAAACGGAAGAATAAAATGCGTACTTACAGGTAAAAATTGGATAAATGGTTAATTGATTTTCTCAGAAAACTATAGTAATTTCGGTGGAATGTTGTGCAAACTTCTAACAGTTCACATTATTAGAATGAGGTATTTGCAAATCGCCCGATTTGATTTGATATAATAATAAAGGCTATTTCACCGTATAAGCCGTATATCACCTAAATTTTCAAAGTCAATACTGGTCTTGATTGGTTCTCCGTATATTTAACGCCATCTGAGCAAGTAGCCAGATTTGCATCAATCGATGATTTTCAAGGAATTAAAAATTTCTGTTTAATTTTATAAAAAGTAGTGGGATATGCGCATCCATCTGCTATGTTTCGCAGCGAGATAACGAGATAGTAATTGCAGCCAGATAAATGTGAATATTTCTTTTTGATGGATTCTTTAGAGGTTTCGCGGCCGGAGGACGGATTTCTAGTTGCGGCCATTTTCATCTTTCATTTAACCACTTGATACATAGATTTAAAATATTGAAGTCGAGTGCGCTCTTAGTCGTTTATGATCTTGTAAAAATTTTTGATGTACAAATTGAAGAGTTTTTCTCATTCACATTAATACAGAATCTAAGGACTTTTTCTGAAATTACCCATGCGCAGTCAACTATCCGTTGCAGTTTTTTCTATCAGTAAAGGACTAATCAGCATATTTATGATTTGCATGTGATACAATGCTCTAGATTGCATAATTTATTCGATAGATAAATATTGCGGGAGAAAAAAGCGCAGTCCTAGCGTGTATCAGCTATACATGAAAGCGAGATAGCTTTTTTTCTTGGATATATGTTGTAGGAAATAAGGGATTAATTAATTAAAATATTTGTAATATTAAAATTTATTAAAATATTCAAATGATTTTAATTTTTTTAATGCAAAAAATACAAAACTGATTTAAAAATCGATATAATTTATTTACTTACTTTTTGCTTCCATTAGATGCATAAATTGAATTATATCAAAATTTTAAGTTAGAATTTCTGCCAAAAGAATAACAAAAAGAAATTAAAATATCTATAATATATATACCTAAGTTGATTTGTTTAATGTCTTCTAGCTGAAAAGATTAATGATAAATTTTAAATGAAATAATGGGAATGGCTAATTTATGTGAACGAGAAAAAAGAATTCTGATGGGCAAGTTTTATGAAGTCGTCGAACCGATTTATGTATGCCATACCGATTTATTTCGGAAAGGATATGTCATTTTCCATACTCACAGGTTGCGCTGCTATGCTCTGGCCTTAATGAGTTGTTGATCTTGCCTGAAAGTTCCAGAAGTTGCATCATTTTCAAGTCCCATCTCTCAGAGTATCCACTCCATCAAATTAATCGAAGGCAGTGGCAGATTCAATGAAACGTTAGTTGCCTTTGTATTTCTTAGCATCGCAAAAGTAAACCTGTGCAAAAATCCGGATGCTGGCGATACCTATATCTCTATCGCCAAGGGACTCCCTGGCATATTGCCGAATGTGAAAAGACGGTGGAGCGAGTTTAACCAGTAATGGTGAGGACTCTCAAGAAAAAAAAAATTTCTTAGCCTAAATATATATTTGGTCAGCTGCTAAATGATCTATATCCTCTTTTAAGCACATTTTCCTGCTTCATACTGCCATAAATCTACTTAGCAAAAGGGAGGAAGTGAAAATTTTATACCATTATTATCATTGGGAGCAGGATTGTTTTCTCCCACTCATGTAATATTCACACCAGAGACTATATCCATTGACGTATGTTGATACGTTATTAATAAAAAAATAAATAATAATTATAATATTCATAATTATAATTGTAAATTCAGCAAAATTTTCGAAATAAATTGCAAAATTTTATTTTACAAATATAGTTAAATTAAAAATACAAAATTTTATATTTTAATTTAACTATATTATATTTATCCTTAAATTACTTTTACTTCTAATATGTTTAATATAATATATAATATATTATATATTGTTAATATAATATAATATATTGTATTTATTATATTATCATACATAATATATTATAACATATTTAATGTATTTCATACAATACATTATTCATTTATTATATTTATCCATAATATTTATAATATTAGGTACATTTGAGATCTTGCCGTATACCATAAATACGTCAGTGAATGGATATGGACAATGGACATACATGTCGTACAGATCTCCTTTCTTCGCCTTCACTTCTTAATGAAGGATATTATTTTGGCTCGATGAGTGTTTTAGAGGTGATAGATGGAGCATTATGGTTAAATTTGGTCTCAGAGAATTTTGTCCATTATAAAGTTATTTTTAAAAATCATAAGAGGCAGTCCATCTTTATCTCCAAGCATTTCATTGGTTATAAGTTATGGTTGCTTTACGAAGAAGACGACCTAGTAGTCGTCTCCATATTCAAGATCATATTCAGTAACACCATCTATTCTACCATATCTCTATTATTGCACTCTTCCGAAGTGTTTGATAGCTGGGTTCTCTGAAATGCGTGCTATGGTATGGTAATTTTTCAAAATGGACGTTGCTTTCATACCTTAATACTATAATAGTGTATTTCTGAATGTATATCCTAACATAGATTTGATCTTCGGAGAATCTTTAATTGGGATATACCTCAATATTCATTTATGCTGACATTCCAGTCTCCACCGACTTTGGCCATGTTACTGGGGCTATTAGCAGTCAAGTTATCATATACTTGTTTTTTTCTGGGCATAGAGCAGGTGCATAGATGCCCGAGTCACTGCAGGAACTTAGCCCTGAAACAAGAGTAGGCTACCCGCTCATTAATACTTAAAACGGATCGAGCAATCGTTACGCCATTTTGTCCCATCCAAAGTGTCAACGATACAGCCACAGCCTCTTTTTCATTCCAGGTAATAACTGCTCAAAACTTGGAATGAGGAAAACTTCCAACTAAAAAATCATGCAATATTTGGAGAAAATATGAGTGATTATTGTTTGTCTTCAAAAATATTCTGAACCATTCTGAAGTTTTCCGAACTGTTGCCAAGATATCGCCAGCCATGTAAACAGTGTGTCAATTCCTTAAATTCTGCCTTAAAAGATTCAAATAGTTACTTTGAATCAAGAGCTCATTCCATCGTGAATTTTTTGAATTTTTTACCAGGATCGGTCGAACCGCATATACCATCGGGCTAGGGATATCATGCATGTCGGAAAGTGTGGACGCCGTATGAGGATACCAGATTCTTTTATTAAGTCAGTTTGGTATAAAAATACGGCGAGTTCCCGACAGCTACCCGGATTTTCGATTCTTATGACAAGTTTACTCCTGTCAAGGAATGAAAAGATGAGAAAAAAAGAGAAAGATTTTAAGGTAAATAGAAAAGTTAGATATTAAAATAACTAATTCTCTTTTTTATTTTTTTAATTTTTTCGTCTAAAATTTGGATTTGAAGTTGAACTTAAAACTTAAAAAATCGAATTTGGAGATTATGTACGAAAAAGGAAATTGTGAAGTAGGATTAATGCATCGATAAGAGCTTTAGGGAACGAATTACCTCAAAAATTGTCATTACTGTTATCCAAACAGTTTCTTTCATAATAAATTTTGTTTTTGCTCTATATTTTTTAAATTATTTGCTCACTTTAGTCATAGTATTGTCGATGAAATTTCTGGTAGTAATGAAGTCATAGTTGGCGACCAAAATAAAAATGAACTTGCAGTCCTTTCTGAGGCTAAAGATAGTCGTTCCGGTGGATCAGATGTTGTTGGTAAAATTATCTTTCGTTTGTTTATATCATATTTATTTATATAATTTCAGTTTTTTATAACTAATTTTATAACTAATTTCCACATATTTTCATTTATATGCTTTTTTTTCAGGTGAAGCTAGTTCTCTTAATGGTTTTGTGTCAAAGAAGTCAATCGGAATTGACGATGAGTTCAGTGTCAAAAGAATTATGAATATTATAACAGAATTACAAGTATTTTTTGGTTTAATTACCTAAATTAATGCACCTTATTTTTTTTACTTCGATTCGTTTTTGGTTGAATAAATGGACACTTTTTCATAGGACAGTGGACGCGCGATGATGTTCCCGCCTTGTGGTCCAAATGTACATTGTCCTGAATGTAGTGGTAAACTTATAAACTTGTGAACCTGTACCATTTCACCAGAATCATATCTTGATGAATATTTTTTAAAGGTACTGGGTGAACTTTTTTTCACCACTTTCTTTTTATTTATTTTTCCTTTATAGGAAATCAGTGGAATTTTATGAGTTTTCATATTGTCACCTTTTTTCATTCTTTTCTTCTTTCAATTAATTTCTTTTTTTTTAAAACCTTTAATAAGAAAATCTTGCATTGTTCGATAAAGAAAACATCAAGTTTTATTTAAGAAATCTTTTTAATGATTATTTGTTGATGATTACAGTTTTCTGTTTTCTGTTACTTATGGGTCATTTTCTTTCTGATACTTTGAGGCTTTTCAGATTTATATGCTTCAAATTATCTTTCCTTTTCGCTGTTTCACTTCATTATTCTTTTAAATTTTATTCGGAATTCGGTCGAGCTTGTTAAATATTATCTGAAATATTTGATAGTATAGGGAATGGTGAATTTCTTTGAAATCTTCAAAAAATTTTTTGTGCATACAGAATTCGTACTTATTAGGTATTTTAACTTGTTATATATTTATTATTATTACTATTTATTTTGCTTGGATTTCATTCTCTTCTTCGTTGCCGATTAGCCGATATGGTTGGCATATAATTAAACATTTGACTTATTTTGGATATTTTACAATTATATATGATGAATTGAAAGATTGATTATTCGCTTTGTTAATGTCAGTATCGTAAAACCAGTTAAGTCCCATAAATAATTGTTCGATATTAGAGACGAAAAATAAAGATATAAAAAAGAAATTCAAGTCAGCGCCTGAAAACTTTTGCTTTTTCTTTATAATTTCGAAAGAATTTGGAATTTTTATCAATTCAAGTGAAGAAAAGGCTCTGGAAAATGTGGAAAAATCCGATCGGGAAAAATATTGTTATGCAATTTGTTATGTGATGTTATATGCGATTTATAATTTTTGTGCGAAGTGAGATTTGCTGAAATGTTTCGTATTCTTCCAATTTTAATTCCTCAATTGGCTTCGTCTGTCCAATTTCGCAAATTCTTTAAAAAGAAGAAAGAAAAACAAATAAAAATGAGAGAAATGGAAGGAGTTAAAAAATTTAAAAATATAACAATAGAAAATATTTATTAAAATAAACAAAAAAAGCAATAAATTCAGCAAAAAATATTTAAATATTTCTTAAATCAATTTGATTTGGAAAAGTGCTGGAAAGGCGATTGACGAAATAAGAAGTGTAATCGACCTCTCGTTATCTCTCGTTCCGAGTTTGTTCCTGTATGGATGATGGAATGTCTAATGCTCTTATGAATTATGCAGTTCTGTGTGTGTTTTGTTATAGGAAAGATTTTGACTACAATCCGCTTTAATGCGGGAATTAGTATTTGTGGAATAAATCCTTTTTTTGAGAAATTCCCTCATTTTTTTTTGTGGGGGGGGGGGGGGGGGGGGGGGGGTAGGGGGAGGGGAGAATACTATAAGGAGGATTGAGTAAATATAATAAATTGGCAAGTAAATATTAAAAACAATTTGATTTAAGTTGTAAGAAATGCTGAAATAATTGAAGAATAAAAAGTACAACTAAATTAAATAAATAATAGCTTAATGAAAAGCGAATCAATCGGTTACAACTGTTTTTGCTTTATCAATAAAAATCCAATAAATAATTTCAGTTTTATCCTTTACTGAATTGCTAATAAAAAATTTGTATAGCATTCTGCACGAACGGGGAAAATTATTTAAAAATTCGAATTCTTCGAATCGTAATCGTAAGAAAATGCTTTATAAGAGAGGAATGAGGAGGTAGATGGGTGAAGAAGTTAATCGAGAACGCTGAAATGATCGTCATTGCAGTATCCTAGTGAAATCCCTCTAAAACCGATAGATATGGAAGAAAAAAAAGGAATTTCGATAAGGAAAGAAAATAAACAGAACAAACAAATTCTACAAACGAATCAACAATATTTTTGATAACTAACAAATGATAAATGATAACGATTATCGTATATTTTTTCCTTTTAAATTTCTGGTAAATATAATTGGTTTATCTCGCGATGAAGAAGACGATGATTGTAATAATTTTGATCGTTTTTTCTTACCGTTTCCATTATTAATTTGTGTTGCTAAAGCTTTTGGTAGATCGATTATATCGGAATTTATTAAGCATAACGCTGAACATGTTTCGAAAATTTTATCCAGCTTCAACTAAAAATTTTTTTGCCAAATTAGCTATTAAAAATCCTTATATGAGTTGGAAAGGTTCAGTGGATCTCATTTCGGAGTGCTGATGCTGTAAATCTATCATTTAAAAATCTGTGCGTTGTCGGCAATTGAACAGTATTTCTGTTCAAGCGACTCATTTCTAGCAAAAATTGCTGAAAAAATTTGCGAAGAGAGCCAAGTTAGAAATAGTGAATGCTTTTAGAAAAAAATTGTTTCTTATCGCTTCAAAATTAATTAAAATTAATTAATATTAATAATTTTGCTTCTTGAATTATAACTGATTAGGAAATCGATTAAGAAAATATGAAATTAAAATCAAACTAAAAAAAATTGCAAAAAATTTATCTGAATTTACCTAAAATGCCTCCTATAACTCAAAAATATTCGTATAAATGTATATCTATTTCGTAAATGTTATTTAAAAAAAGCTCTAAGAGCGCACATTATCTCTGCTACCACTCGCTTTGTAGGATCCGACAAGTTTTCTCACTTGCCAATAAAAGAACAAATTCTTGGAAAAAGGTTTGCTGCTTCCTGGAATAGGACCTCAACACAAGCTCAGCGAAATGAAAGCCATAACCCAATGAGTTATTTAAATGAAAAAATTTTGAAACTTCGGAATCGAATTTATTCAAAATATTTTCTATCATTCGATTAATTATTTTTATTAACTAATTTAAATTAATTTATAAATTTATTAAAACGTGAAATTTTTAATTTGGCTGAAAAAAAAGCTTACTGAAATTTCATTCAACGCTTTATGATTTTCATTAGTTTCAACCTGAAATAAATAAAAACCTTAAAATTAGAGTCAAAATGATCGCTAAAATTGTGTAGTCTAATTCGTCAGTTCGTTTTGTCATTTAAAGATCAGCCAGTAAATCCGCCATTAAAATGGAAATCCAATTAATTTTTTTAATCTTATTTTTATGCAACTTATTTTTATATCCATTCCTTAATGGCTATATGGCAGAGGTTCCACTCTTTGTGATTTTTCTATGCAATTTTTTTAAGCATTCAACATATATTTTGCTGCTAGACTTGCTGGCTTGTCAAATATGCCCTAACGTCGACACTCCGAATGGACACAAACCCGCTGAGCCAACCTACTCTCCTCCTTTGATTTCTCCACTATGCGACATGCCACTTGATAAAGAATGGTGCGTGCGTCAGCCGAAACTGAAGCCAAGCCTCGATTTATGGTAGCAGTTATTTTGCCACTGAATCACTCACATCGATTAAAAACCTATTACCAACTTAAAATATTTAAAATTTCATTTCATCGCCAACAATCTCTATTATAGAATCATTTTTTCGAGATTTAAAATTGTCGATGATGACTGTTTTGCTATTGACCTAACGACGTACCAACAGTGGTGCAAGAAAGAATTCTCATTATTCCTGGTTATGTTTGTTTCATTCGCCGTAAGTATGTTTAAAAATTTTTTCTTATCAAAATCAAAATAAAATTTGGGGATAGAATTATAATTAGCCCAGATTTATATGCCAGTTTAACCTGAATTTTAAGTGATAGGCTTTTTTCTCGCGTCGAAGACAGAATTCGAAAAATAATAATACTGGAGATGATAATCTAAGCAACAAGCAATCATTTTGCTATATTTTTCTCTTCATTTTGGATTATTATACATGAATTCGCTGCAGTTAGAATTAGAATAAATAAATATTTTTTATTTATTATTTGAAATTCATATAACTATGAAATAATAATAATTAATTAGGAAAATAGATGAATAATAGATGAAGAAAAGAAATAAATAAATAACCTTATCATTGTTTGTAATATTTTTTAATGTCTCTTCGATAATTTCAAAACGTTCATTGATAAAAAAAATTTCGTCAATTTGCGATGAATTTGTTAAATGATTTGATGATAAGCGTATAAAATCAATTTGAATTTTTAAACGATTTATTTCATTTTTTAATAAATTTATTTCATTAGGTAAACGATTTAATCCTGAAATATTTCAATAATCCTGGAATGCGCTATTAATATATCCATTGAGAAAATTTAAAAGGAAATATTCAGTTTTATTTTACTATTATTATGAATCTTTTTCATGCATCTTGCATCTTAAAGTATTAAAAATAAATTTTTATAAATATTACAAACTCAATTGTTATATCATTTTTCAATTTATAATTGAAATTTCATTCTTTAAAATTATCACTTTATCATTTTTGATTATTATTTTTTATAAAATCTCCTTATCACCTCCAAAAAGTTAAATATTAAAGTTCGTCTGAATAACTAATGATTAAGCCTGGCAAATGCAATTGCATCTAATACGAGAAATAGAAAAACGCAGTAAAACTAAAGAATTTTGCACTCCTAAGTTTTTGTTAGCCAGCATAGACGATCGAAAAATTCACTAACTTTGTAAAACTTTCATTTCAGTCAACAATTCGGATATTTGATGACCGATTACGAAGATTGCCATTACAAAAAGTATAAAAAATGGTATGACAATGAGATAGAATATGGATTTATGTCGATGATGAATAATTTTTTTGCTTTTCTTCGAGCTGCAAACATTCCTTGATTATCTTATCCTAATCTTCTATTCTGTTTAGATCAGCAGTCGTCAACCTATTGCCTTTATGGATCTCCTGGAATCGTAGCGATTTTCAGAGAGTACGTGGAATCACTAAACTTAAATATATGTACTTATATATTTATATATAATTAATAACAATAGCAAATCATTTTTAATGATTAATTTTGCATTCATTTGTGAAAAATCTTAATAATAAATATTTCGAAATTTTAGAACTTTA